CTGGGGCACGGGTGTGTGTCTGCACACAGAGGGGGACAAACCCTCATTTTCAGGGGAACCACAGAAGGAAAAATTACCTTGGACCAAATCAAACCCGTTTCTGCAACCAGACAACAATCCCACAACTTTACCCCCCCGAGTCAGGTGCTTTCCTCCTGCCACTCACCTGCAGCAGGAAGGAGGATTCTGAGGAGGGGATGGACTTCAGGTGAGGTTCTGTTGGCAGTTCTTGGCACAGGAACATCTTCTGCTCCTCAGAACCTCACGCCACCAAATTAATTTAACCCTCCCAAAGCCTCGCAGGGAAATAACTCAGCAATGGTGGGAATTTACAGAAGATGTAAAAGGCAGCTGTAATCACAGATATCTCAGCAGCAGCAGCACATAATTTCTGTGTCATCTTTCCATCCCAGCTCCCTCGATGCCTCCTCGAAAAACAACGACCACATCAGTCACGGCAGATTTAATAGCCAGGTAGATTTAGGCTGGAACAAAGGCAGAGGCAACTTCTCGTGTGAAATAGCAGTGTTTGGGTGATTTGAAAATGCTGTTTTTGTTTTCAAACGGCGTGAACAACCCTAGGAGGTTCTGCAGGATCACAGACCCTTGTAAGAAAAAAATTATCTGCATCTCAGGGTTTGCAAAAGCACTTCCTCAGATGCAGTTATTAAAATGGAGCTGCATTTTCCACCCTGGCTGTGCTCAGTAAACAGCAGTGAGTTCATGGGTAGTTCTTGCCTCCCTCAGCTCGTTTGGTGCCCACAAAATTCAGAATTAAGTCCCTCACCTGAGCCTGGTATGAGCTTGGAGAAGGTTGTCATCTCCTCACATGCTCTGGGGGACATGAGGGTGCTGTTAATTCAAGGGCATGGTGTGTTTGGACGTTCTTCTCACAGAGCTCAGAAGAAGAATTCAGCTCCTGCAAGAAATAAAACCCAAATCAGCTGCAGACAAACACACGTAGCAGCAGCCAAGGCAAAACATTTGCTAATGAGCTCAATTCTCTCACTGGAACTTGCTGGACTGAGCTTTGAATACTTTGACATTTGAGAGGAGAAGCTCCAAGGAATAAAAAAAAAAGACAATTAGTCACAACATGGGTTTCCTTTTCCATTATATGGACACGACAAACCCACATCAGCTTCAAGTCCAGCATCCAGCAGGACCCCAACAAAACCTCCCACTGATCTCAGGTCCCAGCTTTTATCCCAAAAGCCTCTCCCAGGACTAGTGGTGGAAAAACTCCAGTGTCAACTCACCTGCTGAGGCAAAACATGTCAGGGGGATTGAAAAAATACCTGTTGAGTGGAGAATAGTCCTTCTTCAGGAGTGTCCTTGATGAATCCACTTTGGAGAGAGGAGACTTGGACAGCCAGACCCCCTCCTGCCCCAGGAACAAGCACATGTGGCTGCTAAGGAATTTCTGGGGTGGTTTGGTTCTGATTTGCTCTTTGGAAACAGTAAATCCATTCCATGCCCACACCAAGGCTCACGGGCAGGAGAGAGAAAAAGAGGGAGTAAAACGGGCAGTAAAATTCTGCCCCTCTTGGAGCTCCACCAAAGCCACTCCCAAGGCCAGGACTGCCTTCAAAGCCTGGGATATCTTTATTCCCTCTCTGGGATGTTTTCATTCCTTCTCTGGGATGCTGGAAGTTTCTGGGCAGGTGCTGGTTGAGGTGGGGAGAGGGAAGGCACCGACAGGTAACGAGGGACAGCACGAGAAGAAACGGTCTCAAGGTGCACCAGGGGAGGTTTAGGAAAAATTCCTTCATGGAAAGGGTTGTCCAGCATTGGAACAGACTGCCCAGGGCAGTGCTGGAGTCACCATCAATGGCAGTGTCCAAAAAACACATGGATGTGGCACTTGAGGTTTAGTGGTGAACGCGGTGGTGGGGCCGGGCTGATGAGCTCAGAGGACTTTTCCAAGCTTAACAATTCCATGATTCCAGGGATTAAAGCTCAGGACTTGCTGCCCTGGTCCTGGGGACACCTCCCATCACCCTCAGGTGGGATTTCCTGGGGGATTTTGTGCAGGACAAGCCTGGGTGGGTGCAAAGCTGAGCCCGGAGCTGGCAAAGCTCAGCTCACCCAGCGACTGCCTTTAAATGTCAGTTTTAATATTTAATCACCCTGGACGGCCTCAATATTTACAGCATAAGCCATTTCATTGGGAAGCTAAATATATAGCCCAGATATTTAAGGGAACTGATTCAGAGGCACAGAAATGTAATTGCACTTAACGTGACCTGGGAATGAAATCACAGCTTTAGGGGCTTTTTTTTTTTTCCCTTCTGCAGGATGTTTAAACCCCATTTTTAATACATTATGCTAAAGGAGGCTCTGTCACTGTGTTGCCTGGGTAGATTTCACTAATGCTGAGTGGTGAAAGCAACCCAAACCCAAAAAAAAACCCCAAAAGGAACAAAGCAACCCAACCCCCCCCCAAAAAAAACCAAAAAAGGAACAAATTAAAAGTTTTTACTTTACTATTTATATACTTTATACAGGTTATGTATATAAATTATATATATTGTATTTATATAAATTACAGACATTGTTAATTATGATCTATATAATTATTATATGTATATTTTTATGCTTCACATACATTTTACTATGCTATTTATTTTGTAAATTAGCACCTGTCTGCTGAAGCAGTCTATTAAAAATGCATTTCCCAGAAAACTAAAAATGCCTTCCCAAAAAAAAAGGAAAAAAAAACACCATAAAGGCAATAAAAAGAGCAGAAAGCAAAAGAAAGGCAAGAAGGAGAAGCAATATATATATTATTTTTGTAATTGTGAAGATGCAGAAATATCCTGATATAAAGCAATTATTGTTTGAGTAGTTTTCTATTATTTATATCATGGAATCCCAGAATGGTTTGGGTGGGAAGGGACCTTTAAGCCCATCTCATTCCACCCCCTGCCATGGGCAGGGACGCCTTCCATAGACCAGGTTGCTCCAAACCCAATTCCATCCATCCATCCATCCATCCATCAATTAAAGTCCTGTATATCAAACTATTTCAAATTTCCTGCTCCCCACAGGACAATCCCTCTTCCCAAGAAGAGGAAAAATCAAGAACTGCAGCAAACGCCCCCCCTCCATCTGTGCCAACACAGGGGCTGCACAAGGGTTTGGGAATCATTTCCAGCCTGGATCTTCCCCCAGCAGTTTAGCACAGGACAGGAAAAATCCCAGCCAGAGGCAGCCCAGAGTGGATCATTTTTTCCCCCCAGGACAGGAAAAACTCCAGCTAAAGGTAACCCAGAGCAGCCCATTTTTCTCCCACCTCTGAATTTCCACAAGAAATATATCCCAGCCTTCTCCCTCCAACCCAATTTATGGGTTGCTTTGTCCCATAAATCCCTCAGGAATGGCAGGGGAGCAGCTGGGAGAAGCCAGGTTTTTGCCTTCCTAAGGGACAGCCCCATTCCCAGCAGGATGTGGGAGGGAGCAGAGCTCCCAGCACGGAGCCAGCCCTTCCCACTGCTCCAGGAGGGATCCAGACAAGAGCAAGGAGCACAACAGGAGCCCCTTTTTTCCAGGGATGACAAATGGAAGCAGAGAGGTATTTTTTTCCCTGACAACCCAACACCACGGGCACAAATCCTGGCTCCAAAGAGGGGGATGTCTCACCCTGCCACAGCTCTGCTCCCTTTGGGAAGCTGCACGGATCATATGGATGACACCTCTCAGCTTATGCCACAAAGAGTCATTTTTTTGGGATCAGAAACAAAAATACCATCATATTTTTGACCCACAGCTCAAGGAACAGGTTTAATGTTTTCTTCTCCATATCAAAGCCAAATAAGTCCAGTGGAGTGGATGATTCCAGTTTTTTTGGGAGGTAGGGAAGGAATTAAGGTTCATGGAGGAGCCTCAGACACGCTGGGCTGGACACACAGGACTTCCCTGGAAAAATCACTGCAGGAGCTGTAACAGCAACCAAAACCATTCCCAGTATTCCTGAGGAAGGGCTGGGAAACCACGTTATCACCTCTCCCATCTGAGAGAGGCTCAGGTGGAAAAACAACGGGAAGTGACTCTGGATGATTTACTGTCACTGGGGTTCATTTAATGGGGACATGGAAAACTCTCCAAATGGTTCATCATCCGTGGGAGCCCAGGCATGATCCATGTTGATATCAGCCCCAGATTATAATGCAATAGGAGAAAGTGTTATTGGAAGGAGAATGGAAGCTGGAAATCCTGGCTGGGCCATCACTCCTGCCTGTGTAATGAGTTTCTGGTGCAGGAGGGGTGAAATTGGGAGCCAAAGCCCAGGGATAATTTATCCCTTGTTTAAACACATCCTGGCAACCCAATTATTATTTTCAGGATGGCAGAGTTTCCCTTCTCAACGTGGTACTGAACAAGAGCTTTCTCTCATTCCCCAGCCCAGAGCAGAGCGTGGTTCAGTGGGCAGGGAAAGCCAGGGCACAGCATCCATGGGCACCAACACTGGCATGGGATGGCTGATCCCAGATCCTGCTCCTCCCTGGGATAATGGTGCCCCTGCTCACCACGTGCTGCACTGGGTGTAAGAGCTCAATTTGCTTTTGAACCTGAAGATAACAGAGCTCAGTAATTGTCAGGGTTACGTTCCCCCAAAATGCACAGATCTGCAGGGAAACTGAATTCCTGGGTCTTCTTGGAAGAAAGTTAACCTTTAAAATCACCCACATAAACAAGCTAATTAATTAATTAATGAGGTTGATTCATGAGAATGACACAGGGCCCAAAGAGCCAGACCTTCTGCAGGACACAACCCCCAGGGCAGCACAGCACAGCCCCAACACATCACAGAACCATCATCCCAGACTGGTTTGGGTGGGAAGGGACCTTAAAGCTCATCCAGTGCCACCCCCTGCCATGGGCAGGGACACCTTCCATTGTCCCAGGTTGCTCCAACCTGGCCTTGGACACTCCCAGGGATCCAGGGGCAGCCACAGCTTCTCTGGGCAACCTGTGCCAGGGCCTCCCCACCCTCCCAGCCAAGAATTCCTTAATATCTAATCCAAACCTAATCTAATACACAGCCCAACACCCTGAATTAACTTTACTCCTCAGTTTCTCGATTTTCTTTGTATAAACCAGGCTTTGTGCCATTTGATTACCAGTTGTTTGAAGCCAGAACTTTGTTCTTGCTTGTGCTGGTCAGAACAAGAGATCCAGAGCAAGGTGTTCCCACCCTCCACGAGCATCACAGGGTCCTGCTGGATCCACATCCACGGGAGAAGCTGCAATCCCCTGGAAACCAAAGGCACAACCTCCTCTGGCCCCCCCTAAAGATGAGCAGTGGACAAAAGTAAAGAGAAATATTAGCCAGCCCTGATATTTCAGCACAGGATAAAAATATAAGGCACATTATTCCCCTGCAACGTTACTATGGTGATTGCACTGAGCAGAGCTGTGGGTATGAACCAAAGCTCACGAGCAAGATCCTAATCTGCCCATTAAACAATCCCAGGGTCGGGGGATAATAATCAAAATAATAATCAAAAGGCAGCAGCACAACAGGGAGACTGTCAGAGCTCACCCTCTGCACGTGAAGGTCAAACACAGCACATCAACTCCCTGAAAACCTGCCCTGGGTGGCCAAAATCATCACTTTTGGTGTGGCAGGAATGAAAAGCTTTTTGCCAGCACTGCCTCGTTTCCTTGGGCCAACAGTGGGCATGAACAGTGTGTTAAATCACATGCAAGTGGCCTGGGTGTGGTAGATTGAATTATATTAAATTACCATTACTGAAGGGTAAAAACCCAGATCTGCACTTGGACTCTGCTTCCCACACCTTAGAAAGGTGGGGGGAATTTTTCTGATGGTTTGGAGCTTCATGTTATTGAGAGTTTAGGAGCCAAGTGGGCACATTCTGCCAGTTATTGTTGGAGATTTGTTGAGTTTGAGAGCTTCTGCCACGCAAGGAAGAAGGGGAAGTTGTATATTTGGCGAAGCAGAAGTTGGAATTTTATGAAAAGAAAAATCTCTGTGAGTCATTTTAGTCTGTGTTCTCTGGTCATTTGGCTGTCATGTAAATAAATCAAAGCCCAAAATCTTTTAAAATACTCCTGACTTCTTTTCTAACCACTGGTGAAGGGAGAAGTTGTTAGAGTGGTGGAAAAATTATTTCCCTATTTATACATCAGATCTTAGTAAAATACTTGTATATGAAATAGCCACTGCTCTGAACAATATTTTGAAATTTTTCCTGTCCTACTGCCCATTCCAAGAACTGCCCATTCCAAGAACTGCCCATCCCAGTGACTGCAAATCCCCCCTTCAGTCCCAGACACTCGTTGCACTGAAGGAGCTGCCACTGCCCTGGGTTTGGAGTGGTTGGGGTCTGATTTTTGGGGCCAAAATCCTCTTCCCTGGCTTTCTGCCAACGGGTAAATATCTCTACAAAACCCCTGGGCAAACTTAAAGGTGTCACAAATCCTTCCTCCCCAGGAGCAGGGTGTGGGTGAAGCCCTGGGCTGCTGCAAGGGCTTCTGTGTGTTAAAATTATAGAGAAAGGAAAAAGCAATGAAGCTCCCAAAGCTCTGGTAGAGCAAAGGGTCTCTTTGTTGAGCTGTTTATCTTATTCTTGAAGGGCCTTATTCTTCTGATCTTTGTTTCATAACTCTTCTTTTCCCACCTCACAAATTCCATTGGCTTCTCACCCACTGTTGGATGTTGAGAAGTGTGAACCAGTGGGAATAAATAGGAGATTTGGGGATAGATTAGATTAGAGGATTATTAAAATAGAGGATTTGGGGCTAAATTAGATGACCATTAAAAGTTCCTTCCAACCCAATCTGTTCTAGGATTCCTCATGGGAGGAGCAAGAAGTCTGTATTTGGTCACAAACTGAACTGGGATGGGGAGGGAAGAGAAAGGTGCTGCTAGTTTTGTTTAATCCAAATTCAAACCATTTACATCTGATCCATGGAAGAGCATCACCCCGAGCTGGAAAACAGCTCCTGGATGAGAGGGGAGGGCACAACTGGCATTGCTAAAGGAGCCCAAAGAGAAAACACGAGTGAACCCACGAGATTTTGTTGGAATTACAGCCTAAAACACAAGCAATGAGCTGCTGTTTTCTTGTCTAACAGAAGTAACTGCTCTGCTACTTTAAAGAATTTCTTTCCCCAAACCTCTGCCCTCCCCATCTCTGCCCCTAATCCATTTTTCCAGGGAGATGCAGGTTTGGAGTGCCTGGGCTCAGAGCAAGGAGCTTCCTCATCCTGGGGAGACGACACCAAGCCAAGGATAAATTCCTTCCCAGCCAAAACAGATGTGATTTCATTACCTGAGTGACAGAAACCTCCTCACTGTTTACACCAGGCCTGCTATTAAAGCAATTATTGGGGATCGATGGGAGACAGCAGCAGGATTTAAATCTTGCCAAGCAGCCAGGCAAGGGAGCAGCTCCTCCAGACAGGTCAAACTCGTCACACTTTGTTCCCAGCACAGCAAAGAACAACCTCTGGGAAGTCCTTGGCAAGGGATCTGTAGTAAAACACTCTCAGAAGTCCCCAGCTGGACCATATGGATGCTGCTCACATCCTCCCCAGCATCACATCACAATTTACAGGCATAATTTTGGGCTGTGGAAGGTGTCCCACCCATGGCAGGGGTTTGGAATGAGAGGAGCTTTAAGGTCCCTTCCAACCCAAACCAGTGTGGGATTCTGTGATCCTGGGAAATGCCGGGTTCTGTGCTTCCCAGCTTTCTCCCAGGGAAGCTCAGGAGCTCAGCCCATGGCACTTCTATGATTTTAAATCCAGTTCCTGCTCTGCTGATCCCAGGCTGGGCCTCACCTTCCTATTTCAAAGTTCATTTCTCATCTAAAGGGGCTCTGCAATTTTGAAGTGTTCAAACCTGCACACAGCTCAAAACTGGATCCAATATCCCTGGATTTGTCCCTCCAGCTCTAACATGGAGCATGGAAAGCTGCTTGTTACCATTTTTCAAATGCTGCTGCAAGTAAAGACGACATTTCCCGGGTGTTGAAGCTGCAGGTGAAGGCAGGACAGACACCTGGTAATTGGGAAATAGGAATTATTTCTATTTGGGGGCTGATGGGGGCTTTAATTAGCTCAGAACACTTTTTACAACAGGAGACCCTTCTATTTAACAAAGAGTCACAACACGGGCAGAGGAAGAGCAGAAAGATTCCTGGGATTCCTGTGCAATTCCCAGCCAAGAGGATTTTATCCTGGACAAGGACACCCTCCCATCTGGCACATGGTGTCCCTGCAGGGCTGGGCACCCACATCACTTCAGGTGTCAGACCAAACCAGGAGTGTTCTGGGCTCCCAGGTCATGGAAAAATCTGTAGATGGACAAATCCCTGGGGATGAGCTCCATCCCCCCAGTGCTCTCCAGCCCTTCCCTCTCCCTGCACCCACCTTCACTCACACACTTCATTCCACGAGCAGCTGCTCAACACACACCTGAGCCAACCCCCTGCTCAGGAGGCCACAAGGATGAATTTCTCCTTTCCTGCTCCCTTTCCCACTTATCTCCAAGCCCCAGGGATCCCAGCAGCCTCCAAACCCTCCCAAGTGCAGCATCAGCCCATCTCAGACACGGCACAGGCAGCGAATCCCTTCCATGGCAAAGATCAAGGAGCCTCACATGGAATCCCACCCGGAGCTTTTCCAGGCTGCACTTTATTTTATGATCCTTCTTAAACCAGCCCTGGCACGTTTTCCAACCAGTGACCTTCATTTAATCCTGCCAGGCTTTACAATTTAAACCAAGATGCAAACACGGCCTCCCTGGGAGGGTGACAGTACCCAGTGTTCCCAGGAATCCCACACGGGATCTTCCCTCCTGCCACCTCAAGCCAGCACCCCCCAGCTCATCCCAGCAGGACACTGCAGCTCCAAACATCCCAGTTACCCTTCCCAGCTCGTTTTCCACTCTGACACTCAGCAGATGTCCACCAAAAGCAAGATCCTGGTGCCTGTGCTGTGTACAGGCAAAACTCTCTTTGCCCAAGCCATGCAGAGAAAAAGGGAGCAGGGGGAAATTCCCTTTAGGAGCCCTTGGTACAGCTTTGTGCCAAGCAAAGCATTTTCCTGGAGAAAGCCTTGGCCTAAGGAGAACGGGAATGATGGGAGGGAATGATGGATATCAACCAAACACAACAGCAGTGCAGCAAGGGGAGAGGATGAAGGATAAAGCTCCACCAGAGCAGATGGTGCAGATGTTCCCTCTCATCCATCTTCCAGATGTTCCCACTCCGAAGGGAGCGGGTCCCCAGTTTGCTCCAGTTGAAATACCCCCTCCCAGCACACCCAGGGCACAGAGGGAACCCCCCCCAACACGTCACCCTGCCTTGGGGACCATTTTTTCAGGGGAAAAAAAGCTTTCCTCTGGTTTTTATCCCTGCAGAGGTGAGGAGGAGACTCCTGATTCCCGACTCCATGGATCAGCACAGCAGCAGGAGGGGGATGTGCTGTGGCACATCCAGTGGCACCAGCCACCCCTCCCATGGCATCACCTGGGCTTCCCTTCCTTCCCACAGAAACTCTGGATAATTCCCACACTAACCCAGTGATCCAGCCATCCCACCTGCCAGGAAACAAGGGAAACAACATCAAAGCTAAAGCACCACCAGCCCCTGTTCCAAAGCTTCCCCTCAGCCAGTGACAGCACGATCCAACTTTAATGGATGCTGGGAATATTCATGTGGGCTCTGTCCACCTGCACCATCCCACTTGAACAGATAATGGGAATATTCATCTGGGCTCTGTCCAATTTACTGCACTTAATACCTTGTGCCTCCTCCACACGGATCGATTTTGGCAGCGGGTTTATGAGCAGTAATTAATATTCATTCCGAATGAGATTCCCAATGCATGAAGATGTTTATTATTTATTCATCTTTAAGGCTTGTTAGATTAATCTGGTTTAAATTACCTCCTGCTGCCAGGCACAATTATTGTAATTTATTAGGATAATTCCGGTGCTTTATTTCCCTCTGCTGCAGGAGGTGGGTGATGCTCCTCCAGTGCTCCCAGAAAGCAGCTTGTGCTGCTGCTGGAGCTGCATCCCAGGGAGGAAAATCCCCTTCTCCAAAGGGGTCAAACTCTAGATCAGGCTTGAGTCCACACTAATCCCTTTTGTTTAAGCAGATAGAAATCATAAATCATGGAATGGTTTGGTTGGAAGGGACCTTAAAGCTCATCTCATTCCACCTTCCACTAGCTCAAGTTGCTCCAAGCCCTGTCCAACCTGACCTTGAGCACTTCCAGGGATTTGGCAGCCATATCTTCTCTGGGGAAAGTCTGTGCCAAGATACAGAAATCCTGCATCCCTCAACATCTTCCTGCCTCTGTTTCTTGGGTGTAAATGGCTCCTCCTGAGACATTCCTCAGACTTCCCAGGAAAAGTGAGGGAAACATGGAAACACAGCCTTCAGCTCCCCGACGAGCAAAAGACCTCACCTAATTCCTTTAAAAAACCCAGATATTTGCTTAAAAGCTGCAGTTACCACCATCACATCTAATTGATCCCCTCAGGGGCTCAAAACCAGACAGACTTTTCTGGAATTTAATTATTTTCCACCAGGGCTTCCGAGGTAAAGGTGCAATTACAGCAGGAAGGGCTGGGCTGACTCCTACAAACTACACACGAGGGGCTGGAGCGTGTCCGGGGAAGGGAACAGAGCTGGGAAGGGGCTGGAGCAGCAGGAGAACTGAGGGAGCTGGGGGGGCTCAGCCTGGAGCAAAGGAGGCTCAGGGGGGACCTTCTGGCTCTGCAACTCCCTGACAGGAGGGGGGAGCCGGGGGGGGTCGGGCTCTGCTCCCAGGGAACAAGGGACAGGAGGAGAGGGAACGGCCTCCGGCTGTGCCAGGGGAGGGTCAGGTTGGATATTGGGAGAATTCCTCCATGGAAAAGGCTGTTCAGCCCTGGCACAGCTGCCCAGGGCAGGGGTGGATGCCCATCCTTGGAGGGATTTAAAATCCCTTGGATATGGCACTTGGGGACATGAGTCAGTGGTGGGGCCTTGGCAGTGCTGGGAATGGTTGGACTCCATGATCTTGGAGGGCTTTTCCAACCCCAAAGATTCCATGGCTCTGTTCTGCCCTCCCAGCAATGCCAAAGCCAGCACACCCCCAGCAGGGTGCACAAAGGGGGATCCCACTCACCCAGGGGGGGCTTTGGGCACGTCCTTCCCACAGCCACAAAATTAAGGAATCATCCCCCTGCCCGACTGGCTGGGATATCAACGAGCTGCTCCTTTAAATGACACCACTTTGAATCATTTTTTCTGCCCTTTGAAAGAGCCCCTCACTTCTCCTGAAGCCAGGGAAGAGCATCCAATGTGCTGATGCAGGAGGAATGAAGCAGAGCCTGCTTTGAACCCCCAACACCCCCAGCATCCCTAACGATTCCTGCCCTCCCAAAATGACTCCGCTGTGCAAACGCTTTTGAACCAAAGTGTTTAATCAGAATCTCCCCAGAGTAAAAGCAGCCACGAGGAGAAAAAAAAGACCAACTTTTTAATAGAGAGAGAAAAAGGCCCTCTTTGGAGTAAAACAAATGATTCTCTAACAAAGAATGTCCCGGGGACAGGAAGACAATGTCGAGCTTTGATGCTACAATTCTGCTCTGGAGATTAATTCAGAGCTCAGGTTTTACCCCAATTATAAATCTCCCACTGCCAGGAAGGAAATAGAATTTAGTCCTCACTAACAGCAGACTAAATTTGAGCCATTCTCTGGTAGTTTTCAGATACAGGGCTTAAGAGCAACCTTAACAAAATGATCTCAGTATTCCTTTCATCAATTCTCTATTCTGCCTTTGAGATCCCAGCCCTGCTCTATCAGCTCTGAGCAAATCAAATCAGGTGTTTCCATCCTCCTGCCCTTTACAGAAACCTCGGTTTCCTCTCCTTTCAGCAACAGTGGGGGGAAAACGCTGGAGTCACCAGGGTCAGTCTCCCAACAGGGAAAAAACCAACCATTAAACCTGAATCCAACCGGTTCTACAACGACTCAGTGACCTCAGAGCTCTGCTCCGAGCTCCAATTGTGTCCCTGTGGTCCCTCCACCACACTTGGGGATGGAAACATTTCATCTCCAGGGATAACCAGGCAATGGTTCCCTTTGCAGCACAGCAGGGAGGCAGCCCCAGGGCCATCCCTGCGTTTGAGGCCCCACATTTTTAGTGAAACGACCAAAAAGCAGAAGAAACAAATGATACCAGCACAGAGCCAGGGGATGACATCCCTCACTTTCCTCAAGGCTTTCCTTGGAAATCCAATTCTCTGCTTTTAACTCCTGCTTTTCCCCACTGGGATGTTTGACCCAGCAAACACAAACCACATCCAGGCCTTTTGACACCTGGCACGTCGCTGTTTTAAACACACTTTCAATAAACTACAAAAAGTTGATGCTGTTGGAGCCTGAAAATAAATGAGCTCATTAAAAAAACGCTGGCACTTGGCAGGATCTCTGGTGGCCAATCCCAGCCTGGGGAGGGCTGGAATTTATAACTTTGATCCCCACAGCTAAACCATTTAATCTGATCATAAACATCAATCACTGAGTTTTATTGCAGCATTTTGCAGCCTGAGCAGAAAACCTCGGCAAATTAGGCACCCCCAGAGTGACTCTTTGCAAATAAATACTGACTTTAATATTCAACAATATAATTCCCCGGGATCAATTTTTTATTTAAGAGCTACTGGAGCTCAGGAAAAAAAAAAAAAGTTTCTAATTATAAAAATATCCACCAAGGGCAGTACAACAGCATCTGGTGAGCAGGGGCTGCTCTGAGACAACACAGACCTTCGGGTTTGTTGTGGCATCAGGAAGTTATTAAGTGTGTCCAGATATTCCATGTGATTCCATAACTCACCTTTAAAAGTGGTGCAGATCCCATTAAGCTCCAGTTGGCTCCAGATCCTCATCCAGCCCTCGGCAGGCAGGGAATGGAATGGTGGGAGTGACACACGGAGCACGGGGGAACCTGCCAGGACAAATCAATCAGAGGGAGCCCGTTAAGGAGCAAAGATGCCAAACTGCCATTAACTCATTAATTCAGACACTCTGTCCAAGCCAAAGAGCCACTGAAGAGGGAACTGAAATAAGGATTTTCCTAGTGAAGCACCGAAATCCAGCTCGGAGCTGGATGGTGGCACTCAGAGGAGCAGCCAGAACATGCTGCAAGGGGCTCCTGGAAAAGGGCATTTTCCACTGAGGATATGTTAGAATTAAATTCAATTATCCCAGCCCAAGATGAAGAACATAAAGACTGTCCCAACCTTCTTCACACACACCTGGAAGATCCAAGCAGGCAGGCAGCAGTGAGGGCATCAGAATCTGCTGGTTTTAACCCAGGGTAAGCTGGGTTTCTGCTTCAGGGAAGGACTTTTAAATCTAAATTTTATTGTCCAAGAGTTCACATAATAGAATTATGATCTCTAGGAGGAAAAAAAAAAAAAGGTCATTTTTGTCTTCACTTACCACTTCTATTTTTCCCCCAACAGACAAGATAAATGAGTCACAGAACACCCTGAGCTGGAAGGGACCCACCAGGATTGAGTCCAACTCCTGCCCAGACACCCCAAGAATCCCACCCTGTCCCTGAGGGCATTGTCCAAACACTCCTGGAGCTCTGGCAGCCTTGGAGCCGTGACCACTGCCCTGGGGAGCCTGTGGAAGAGCAGAACAAGAAATATTGGCCTTGAGACGAGTGTCAGGAAGGGCTAAAAATGAGCTTTTAAACCAACATTTCCATCAGCACCAGAGAAATCTGACCAAGTGATAGTTCAGTGGTGGTGTCACCAAGCCTGGAAGTGTCCCAAACCCACGTGGATGTGGCACTAGAGGACGTGGTTTAGTGGTGAACGTGGTGGTGCCGGTTGATGGTTGGACTTGGAGAGATCTTTTCCAACCTTAACAATTCCATGATTCCACGACTCTATAAAACCATTCCCCGTGCCAACTCCACCCTGAGATCCTGGGAGGTGACTCCAGCAGCAGCTGAGCCAGTCCAGGCACCCAGGCAGGCCAAAACTCAATCCATCACTATTTATTGATCCCTCTTAATTATCTCCCCAGAGCAAACTCAACCCCAGGGAGCTTTGCTTCCATGAAAAATGGATCATCTTTGTTCCAAGCGAGGAAAATACATGAAGGCACTTAAATTCCTGCCTTTTAAGTCCTGCAAATCCATGAATACATTTCAATTCCTGATTACAAGTGTTGCAGCTCCTCAAAGTGAACTTTGTCTCTGCTAAACTCTCCGGTGTGTTTATAAAACAGCTTTCCCAGAGACTCACATCAGCAATTTTGGAAGTGTTGCATTAAATCCAGACGGTGTTTTTCATCTCAAGACAGGAAAAAAATGCATATTAATCCCCCAGCCAAGCCATGCACTGAGAATTTTAAACATTTCTGTCAGTCTGGGTAAAACCCTGATCCATTTTTTTTTTCCTTTTTTTGCTGGATGAGCCACTGAATCCTTTTGGTTCATTGGGAGGCCATTTGCTAACTTTATTAGGCAATATTCAGATGATGGATATCAAAAGGATATTCACTGCAAACCAGGCTTTGTTTCTCAGGACAGTAATTAGGTTAAGCTCATGAATAAACCCTTTATATCAGCAGCCTGTAACGAAGGGAGAGTGAAAAAATGCAGGGCAAAAGGAGAAAGAAAAGAAATTCTTTCATGTGCATCGTGGCCTCCATCTGACACCTTTAAACAATTCATACCTGAATAGAAATGTCACAAAAGGTGGGGATTTGGTACTCTGGAAGTGATGCCATAACCATGGAATGGGTTGGGTTGGAGGGACCTTGGAGCTCATCCAGTTTCATCCAGGGATCTTTCTACTATCCAAGGTTGTCCCAACCTGGCCTTGGACACTTCCAGGGATGGGGCAGCCACAGCTTCTCTGGGCAACCTGTGCCAGGGCCTCCCCACCCTCAGAGGGAAGGATTCCTTCCCAATATCCCATCTCTCCCTGCCCCCTGGCAGTGAGAAACCATTCCCCTTGTCCAACCTGCTTTGGAGCGGGGATGCAAGTTCAGGATATTCCAAAACCCCAGGATGTGCTTTCCCCTCTTCAGCCTCCCACTTCCCTGAAAATCCCAAAACAACTCCAGGACATGGAATGCCCCAAACCAGGTGAGCTCTGCCGTCCCTCATTTTAGGAGCCATTCCAAAAGGGCTTAAGAAGGAGAGGATCTGATGTGATTTCCCCTCCAGCACCAACAGTGGGAGGTTTTTCCTCGAGTCAGCTTTAAAATAATATTGACATGGCAGTCAATACATTAAATATCACTGTATTTATGTCAGAATCCACTGGCAGGGAAATAAATCCATCTAAATGCAGAGCTCTGGGATTTAAATGGAGCCTGGGAATGCCACAGCTTCAGTTTTCACTCAGCTCCTCAGATGTGTATCCATCACTGCTGACAGATTTCATACACTGGGATATCACCTCTAGTCTCACTAAAAACTGCTCTAAGTGGATTTTTAGATAAAAAGACTGGGAAATTTGCTATAGGGAGCTCTTGGGAGCAACAGAGTTCCTGACAGGCTGGAAAGTCAAGTTGTGCTTTTAATCTCGTGCTCGTGGTGGGTCTGAAATGCAGGATGGGCAACGAGGGGCACCCCAAAATTGGGGTTAACAGGTTGATTTACCCCAACACATCAACTGTGATCCACAGAATCACAGGCTGGGGGAGGTTGGAAGGTCCCACCTGCTCCAGCAGGGCCATCCCAGAGCACGTGGCACAGGAGAATCCAACAGGGAACACCAGGAAGGCATTTTAGGACACAATTTTCCCCACAGAACTCATCTTGCCCAGCAGATCTGAGCTGGTTTGTTCCCACTGCTATGCTAGGAAAAAACAACAAAGACAAACCAAACCCCAAAACTAGGTATCTAAAAGCATAAATATATATAGTATATTTATATATATTATATATTATATATTATATATTTTATATAATATATAAATATATAAATATTTATAAAATTTTTTTATAAATATATATAAAAATAATATTTTCAGAAAGACCTAATGATCACCTGTAGATGTTCACTGGGCTGTGAATAAAGCCAGATTTTATTTTAAAAGATCTTAAATCTTCATTGTTAAGTAATTTAACCAAATTCCCACTAGGATGTAAGTGACATCTGGGATTTTCCCATGGATCTGCCCCATTTCACCCCGTTCCTTCCCTGTCCTGTTCCTTCACCCTCCCAGTGAGAGGAGCACTGTGGGAGCTCCAGGCTGAATTCCTGCCATTCCCAGCTGCTTTCCCTGCACAGACAGAGCTCTGTCAACATGTAAACAAGGCAATTAATTAAGGCACTGTAATAACATCACTTCAATAATTTGAGGAGCAGCCCCTTGTTTACAGAGCCACAGATGCTTGATGAAAACCCCAGGAAGAGCAGCTTTTGCCTGGGCAGGGGAAACAGGACAGGAACTGTTTCCTCCCTTCTGGTTCCTGCAAGGCCCCAAATCCCAAATGGATGAGGAGGTTTTCCCCCAAAGGTCAGCTCCAGCTCCAGGACCCACATGGAGCTGCTTCCAGCTGGGACAAAGCTGCTCCAGGCACCCCAAAACCATTCAGAAACACATGGAGTAACCACAGAATTCCAGGATCACTGAGGTTGGAAAAGTCCTCCAAGGTCACCAAGTCTCCCCTGTGCCCCATGCCCACCTTGTCCCCAGCCCAGAGCACTGAGTGCCACATCCAGCCCTTCCTGGGACACCTCCAGGGCTGGGCACTCCAAACCTCCCTGGGCAGCCCCTTCCCAGTCCCTTTCCAGGGAGAAATTCCTCCTGATGTCCAACCTGAGCCTTCCCTGACAAAACATAACAGAAGACCAAGAATTTACCCACCTTGGAAACCAGTTCAGCTGAAGAGAATGGAGGGGTTGGGGATGGAACCACCTGGTGGGGTCAGGACTCGGTGCAGCAGGAACTTCTCCATCCTCCTGGAACCCACCAGGGGCTGTGCCAGCGGAATGAGCTCCAAAAAAAAGTGACATTACAAAAACCAGGGAGGTTTTGTGATGGGAACACCAGGACCTGGGCAGGGAGGGGTCAGCAGAGCTCCCTGTGCTGGAATACACAGGTGGGTGTGTGAGAAACCACTGAGCACACTGAACATGTTTTTCCATGGAGGACATAACCTTGGACTTGGACTGGAAAATTTAGGATATTTTTGACCAGTCTTGGCTTTTCCATCCAATCCAGGGGTCAGAGTTTGTTGCACATCCACCAAAGAGACAACACAAAGGCTGTGGGCACATTAGGGGAGACAGCAGCAGCTTCAGGGAGCTCTGCCCTGGGCTGGGTCAGAGTTAACAACCAGAATATCCAACAGAAATGTGGGAAATGGGTTTTTTTTCCAAAAACTGGACCCTATTCCATGGAATCATAAAATCACAGGATGGTTTGGGTTGGAAGGGACCTTAAAGCTCATCCAGTGCCACCCCCTGCCATGGGCAGGGACACCTTCCACTAGCCCAGGTTGCTCCAGCCTGGCCTTGGACACTCCCAGGGATCCAGGGGCAGCCACAGCTTCTCTGGGCAACCTGGGCCAGGGCCAAGTCATGTAAGGAAGTGCCAGAAGAATTCCAGCAGTTGGATCCTTGAAGGCTCTTTATCCCAATCCAGAAAACATTTCCTGCCCAGCAGCGTTGCAGTGCTGACCTCTAGTGACAGATATCCCAGAAAACGGGAATATCTGCTGGGATAAATGTCCCTCCCCACCTCTGCCCCCCCAACCAGGATCTCACCCACCTCCCTTACCTTCTAAAAGTGCTCCCCAGCCATTTGGGCTCTGGCTCCCAGTTAATCCATAAAGCAGATTATGAAGGAAGTGGAACAATAATTCCAAAGCCAAGGAGATTTTGAGATATGTAAGATCAGTAAAGTGTTTACATCACTACCCAGGGAGGGCTAAACCCCTTTTCCACACTCAGCTCGTGCCTGGAGGGGGTTTGCAGCTCACATGGGAAGTTCCCCTATTTGCAGAAGTCCACCCCAGGATTTGAGCAGGATGCTCAAGGGAACAGAATGTAGGAACTGAAAATAAAGCTCAATAAAACATTAAGTCCAGGGTTACTGCTGTGTCACATGGGAAACATCAACCTGCAGGTGACAGCAGAGGGGTTCTACAACCACAATCAGAATTAGGAACAGGGAGATGAAGAGCAACAGAAGAACAAGAAATTAATTAAATTAATTCCCACCCTCTCCAAGAAAAATCCATCAGTGGGGGAACCTTTCCCTTTGGTTCTCCAAGATCCACTTCCCTCAAACTCTGCACACTCTCAGGGGAAGCAGAAGTTGGGTCTGCTCAGAAAATCCCTGTGGGGGTCTCACCAACCAACAAAGGCAACAACCCACCCCTGAACAACCCAAAAAACACAGGTGCCAGTGTCCACTTCGAGGTTTTATTTAAAAAGACCCAGAATTCCCAAGTCTCCAGGGAAACAAAGCAACCTGTCCCAACCCTGTCAGAGCTGTCAGAGGTCAGGTCTCAGGGGGAGCCCAAAAAACACCACTACAAACCAGCCCAGGTCAGGGCACCACTCCCCCTGAGCAGCAAGTTCACAACCTGCTGTTTGTTTCCCTAAATTCCCCCTCAGAATCCAGAATTATCAACCAAAAATACTCCTGGTTTAGTCCCTCAGGGGAGATGATTTCAGTTTTTAAGGAACATGAAAGAATCTCCACTGAAAAGTCTCTTAAAACAAAATCTTAAGGTCACGAATTCCAGGTCTGCTTAAATTTACTGTAAGAAAAGAAATACATATTCTACACATAAAATAACATTTTTATTACCTCAAACTTATTTCTCTGCAGTCAAACAATTTGCCAAAGGCTCCTGAGCATTTTGTGGCACACAAGGGCTCCCTGGAATCAGCCAAGGAACACAGTCCCTGCACACCTTGTGCTCCACAAAGCCACACACTCTTGCTTTTTAAGGCAAGATCAGCTCAGTTTAGGAACAGCTTATCCAATTACCTCGATGAGTAATTAAACCCAAGCAAAATGCACCCTGGAGGAGCTCCCAGGAACTCCCTGCTCAGCACTGAAACTATGGGAAAGGGCTGAGTTTCGCTACGAAACTGGAAACTTTTCCTACTGGAAGCAAAATTCAGTTCTTGCATCTCACTCTTTTCACAGCTTTTTAGGCAGAGCCTCTTAAAAATCCAGCAGGTTTCACATTATTCAGGATTCACACGAGGTTATTGCTACATTACTGACCCAGGGCCAGCCCTTCCTCAGGGTAACCCCAGATTGGGGGGTTTCCTCTCAAAAATGGGAGTTTTTCCTCCCGTTTTTCTACAGGAAAAAAAAAATGGGAGTTTTTCCTCCCGTTTTTCTACAGGAAAAACAAAACAGAGCATTCCCAGGTGAGAGGCTGAACAACCTCCAGCTCCCCCAGGGCTCACCTCACAGCAGTTCAATCAGATTTTCACGTTTCTGACCCCAAAGAGGTGCAGCCTCTGCTCACAGACAGGAGGTGCAGGAGGCACTCAGGGCTTCCAACAAAGAGCCAGATTGTTCCTCATCAGGCTCTCTGCTAATTACCCCCAGTGCCAGCAGGATTTAAGCTGGGTGTTTAAAACCAGGCTCTAGTCTTGCAGCAAGGCCCGGGAGCCTCGTCCTGCTCGTGCTGGGGGTTGCATCCCAGGGAATTCGAGGCATTCCTGATTTTCCACAGGGGACAAGCTGCTATTTCAACACGCTTCTGTGGGCCAGGGTGGATAAATGGGAGGAGTAATTATCTGGCAGCTGCAAAACAATAAAATTAAGACATCATGGATCACGAGAAGTCGCTCCTCAACTTATTTGCTTGGTTCATTCCCTCCATGAGGTGTTTAATTACTATTATTTCTGGCTTGCAGGGAGAGGGTGATTTGCTGGCTCTTAGAAACAACATCCAAGTTCTTAAAATAAAGCTCTCATTGTTCTATCCTCGTTTCTAACCCCTCTGCTGCGTTATTGATACCTGAGCTCCCAGTCTGGAGAGGTATTTATTCCTTAAACTAAAGTCATCAGCTTTTGGCAGTAATTTAGCCAAGTCATCTTCATTCTGACGTCTGAGTCTCTCCTGTTCTTCTGCTCTGGAAAAGAAAACTGGTTTAAGACATTTGCACTGGCAGTGCAAACCCTGGGGGATGCAGGTTTATTTTTAATACCTATTTTTAATCTAGATATCAGATTAAATGACACTGAGATGTGTCTGGGTAACTCCAATTCCACATAAAGAAAGAGAGAGGCTGTTTTCTGCAGTTTCCTTTTATTTAGACTCCAAGATTTCAGTAAAAAGAGAAACCTTCTGGGTTTTTTTCCCAGATTACAACCTGCTCAGTGAGCTTCTGTAACAGCTTTTACTGGCTATTAAACAAGTTTCACCCCTTGAAATAAAGATTACAATACAAACAGAATCAATTGTCAAGAAGGCAATAAGAGACTGCTCAGCAGTCTGCAGAGTTCTTAAATCTCCTACCAAAAAAAGGCAATTTGAGCAGAGCATTTGTAGCTCTTGGTCCATGTGAGTGTTAAAGAGAACCAGACCCCAAGCTGTAAATACACTTCAGACAGTGGTTTGCATTAAGACAGTGACAAAAGCAGCAACAGTGACCCGTTTCCAAGCTCTGGATGAGCTTAATCACGACAAAAAATACCATTTTATGAAGAAATCTCCACCCCACCAACACGTGCAGCACAGAAAGTCTGATAGAAAATGTCCTAAGATGAATGTGCTTGTCTTGGATGGCAGAGCACCAAGGCAGAGCTCCAACAGTGCAAAAGGCTCTAAACCCAATTAAAAGATGATTTGGCATTAGTTAAAACTGGTTACAAAGCTTAAAAAAACGGAGGCATTTGCTGTAACCCCCCCAGAGGGTGGATAATCTTCCCCAGGACTATGTGCAGGGTGCAAACTAAACACTGGCACTCTTCCAGCTGCCCTGGAGCTGAGCAATGTTCCCCACTCCGGGATGGCATTTGCTATTCAACTTTCTTTTCTGCAAAAAAAGGAAGTATTTGTAAAGAAAATCAAGAAAACTCAGTGCTGGAGAGACCTGATGACACCATTCCAAGGCAGTAAATCCCACAGCACTCCCAGGAAACACTGGAGTTGTTGCACAGCCCCTACCTGGGCCAGGTAGGGTGGGAAGCAGCTCTGTTTGGACACAGAATTCCAAGCTTTGGGGGAATTTTTGTTGGATTTGTATTAAAAACTGGCTGGGAGCTTTTGGCTGGAGGATGAGACTCACGACAACTAAGCTGGAAAACTCAGCAGGTTTTAGTTTCCCCAAGTTTTCCTTGAGATTGGTGTGTGAAAAGAACAAGAAACAGAACCCTGGTAAAGCCCACAAGTCACCTGGATAGACCTTCCTTTGGGATTTTTGGGATTAACTAAAGTATCACCATATGGACAGTTACACAACCCAGTTTTAGAGAAGTCCATAAATCCATGGCCTTGTTAGTAAAGTATTAATCAGGAACAAATATAACTTATATACTATATAATAACATACCAAACATAATATATATATTATATAAACACATATAAACTGTGTGATGTACAATATCTGCAGGGGAGCTGTAGTTACCTATTAAAAAGTAAGGAATTCCAACAACATTAAAGGCAAACGAGCTTCAAGATCTGAGACCTGCTGAGGTGAATTAGGGCAGAACAGAAAGCATTTCAACAGAAAAATCCCATGTTCTTCTCATCCAACCAGCTGGAATTCCATGGATGGGATCAGCTTTGTCATTTCTTCTAAAGGGAGATCAAATTTTTGATGCCACTTTTAAAACTGGGCCGTGCTAAACCTGACACTAAAGGCAGGTGATGTTTGTTGCTGGCTGGCTCAGGTACCCACCACAGACATGAAGCACAGTTTCAAACAAGAAATACAACATTTTTCAACACCTTTCAGCTGGAAGGCCACTGAAATAAAGGAAAATAGCAAGGAAGAGTGCCAGGAAAGGACACCTGATTACTGCCACTTCCTCTAGATGTTCCTTCAGAGGAGGCAGGAATGTGAAATCCTGCTACTGATGGGTGAGAAAGAAAATAACATCCAATCCCAACAGCAAAAGGGACTGACTTCAGACAGGGATCTACTCAACTTCTTCAGGTTAAACATTTCACAAGGCCACTGATATCTGTTGGATTTGACACTTACTCAGAGGCAGCTGCTTTTTGCAGTTTTTCCCTTTTCTTCGCAGACCAGTTGAGGTCACCACCTGCAAGAGGAGAAATGTGCACCTTGAAACCTTTCAGACTGGTTGTTTTTGGGAGCCTGGATATCAAAACTCACTCCAGGAGTTCTCAGAGCACTGGAGGAATCAGGGGAGTGATTTTACAAAAGTATAAATAGAGGTAAAGAGAAAGAGCAGCATGTTCTTAATCGTGTGAACAAGCAAAGTTGGGACCCAAACTAAGGAAAGAGCTCAGTTTTTACATTCACAGATTCATGTACAGTCAAGTTTGATCAGAAAAAAATTAAAGATTTTTCCTAATAAAGAAAAACCTGCAGAGTATCCTCCACAGAATTCCAAGGTTTCAAGTGCCCAAGTGAGCCCAAGGGACAGGTACCCTTGAGAACTTCCAGAATTAATGATTAAAAATGCCAAAAGCAGCTGCAAACACTCACCTGTGAGGTGATTCACAAAATACAGCATGACCACAGCTATCAGTGACACTGGAACAGAAAAGGAACAGTTTTAGCTGACAGTAACTGTACAACAAGGACAGAGGAACAGCTTTAACCTACACCCAAGTAACAACTAAAATTTTTCATGATAGTTGTAACTGAGGTTTTTCCACCAGCATCTCTTAATTGCTTTTGAAATTCCTACTAAATCTGGTAATTCAGAAAGGATTGTTTTAGTTTTAGTCATATTAATAAACAGCCACCATAAACATAAGCTTTAGAAGTATTATTTGTCTACCCTTTGACTACATTTTTTTGAAACACAAACTATTACATCAAGTCACTTCAATAAACCACAAAACACTTCACTAAGTTTGAGTTACTTTCAGCATTGCCCCAGTTGAAACTTTAAGAGAGGAGTTATCACTGGTTTACAGGAAATATTAAGAAATAAAGCCTAATAAAGCTTCCTGAATGCACAGAATCTGTTTTGAAAGTGTTTAATACTCACAGCAAACACAAGCACTGAAGAAAACTTCCAGAAACAAGTATCCTCTTGTGTCCAGGATCATTCCAGCTGCTATGGCAATCACTGCCAGCCCCAGGTTCTGGATGGACTGCATGCTGAACACAAACACAGCTTTGTCAGCACTGGGGGAGATTTAATTTTTTTTAGGGAAAAATCCTTGGTGGCCCTGAACTACCAAGGAGATGAACTTCCCCCCATTTGTCTGGCACGTGACTGCACAGTTTTGCAGAAGTTTCTGTGCCTCTCCCACCCCCACATCCTGAACTGCAGCAGACTTCCTGAACTGCAACAAACTGGGGGAACTGGGATGTGTCAGAACTGCTGGATATTCCCTGGCTCAGGAGTACAGGGGCAGGGTCACTGCAGAGAATCATGGAATGGGTTGGGTGGGAAGGGAATTTAAAGGTTATCTGGTGTAACCCCCCTGCCCTGGGCAGGGACACCTTCCACTAGCCCAGGGTGCTCCAACCTGGCCTTGGACACTTCCAGGGATCCAGGGGCAGCCACAGCTTCTCTGGGCAACCTGTGCCAGGGCCTCCCCACCCTCCCAGCCAAGAATTCCTTCCCAGTATCCCAGCTAAACCTGCCCTCTGGCAGTTTGAAGCCATTGTCCCTTGTCCTGTCCCTCCATCCCTTGTAAACACTCTCCATGTTTCCTGTAGCTTCTTCAGGTCCTGGAAGGTCACAATCAGGTCACCCTGAAGCTTTTCTTTTCCAGGCTGAACAATCCCAACTCTCCCAGCCTTCCCTCAGGGTTCTCCATCCCTCTGGAGTCTCCCAGTGGCACAGACACAGGTTCAGGTACTCACAAGCCATAGGCAGTTCCCAGCTGGTGCTCGGGGACAACAAAGGCCACCATGGGCCACAGGGCACAGGCCAGCAGGGAATAGGCCACTCCCAGCAGACACTGGGGACACAGGGACAATAAATAAATGTCAGATGAGATGTATTCCTGCTACAAAGTGCTCAGAAATTAACATATTAGTCTTCCCCTTCTCCCAAAAGTGAAAAGCAGAGCTCAAGCAACACTTCTCATCACTGAATAAATGTGCACGTTTAGAAGGAGAGAGAACTTCATCCAGGAGTGACCCACAAACTAAACTCTATTAATTAGCATTAAAGACTCTATTAATTAGCATTAAAGACTCTATTAATTAGCATTAAAGACTCTATTAATTAGCATTAAAGTGGAAAAGATTAATGCTGCAATTCCACAGAAATAGCTGATAAAACAAGGACCCTGTTTTTAAACCCTGACACTGGTGAGCACCATAAACCTCAAAATAAAGCAATTTTTCAAGGAATCTGCCCTAGGAAGGGGAAATCAGTAATGAAGATTTCTGTTGAGGTTTGCCAGATCCAACACAGCACAGGGGCAGTTTAAACAATATTCATAAGCTTCAGAAATATAATAAAATAGCAAGTTTTAGGAGAAAATTGAGCACGTAGCACAGTGATTTAGTTATAGAGTAAGGAGCCTTTTCCACCTCAAAACACACACAATAATTCAGCATCAACTCCATGGCTTGTTTTATCACATTGAGCTGTAAATCTCCAAGAAATAGTTACCATTGCTATCCAGGGGTTCCAGAAGGTAAAAGCCAATATGATGTGAGAGGCCAGTGTGGTTATCACAGCACACAGAACCCAGATGATGTTCTTGCCAAGTTTATCCACCAGAAGGCCAAAAACTGGGGACATGGGGGCTGAGATGATGTACACAATGCTAGAAAAATACAAATTAAAGAGCTGAGCACTCCCTGGTCATGGTAACTCCAGGTGTTAAGTGATACAAGTGTCTCCAGAGAAAATCCCAAATTTCCTTGCTACATGTGAGGCCATGAGAAAAAAAAAAAAAACAAAAAAAATCCCAAACGACCAACTCAGGAATTCTGAATTCCCAAAAGGTCTGAGCACATGAAAACACTCAGCATCCAAGGAAATGGGAATCACACAGCAGCAAGTGTTTTCTCATTGGGGTTTTGTCACATCACAAATTCATCCTCAAACTACAAAAATGTAGTGTTGTTATTAAACTGCTTTTATCACTCAGAAGAGAATCACTAAATACCAAAATAAAACCCTTCAGACAGAGCTTTTTCTTTCCAATGTGAACATCTAAGACTTTTCAAGAAAAACATACCCACACCTCCCAGTTATTCCCTGGGCCATGGGAAATCTGTTTATCCACATAAATGCACCAGGAGATCCCAAACCTCCTCCCACTGCCCAAAGATCCATCCTGCACCCCTAGAAAGTGTTACTTATTAAATCAGCTTAAATCAACCCCAATATACCTGTTAATTGCACTTGCTTCTTGAGGTGAGAAGCTGAATTTCTCAATAAAGAAAACCCTGAAGGAAGAAAAAAAAAGATTTAGGAAAGTGCACAATTGAAGGACAAGAAATAAATATTAAGACACAAGAACCTGGTTTACAAGAAAATTAAATATAGTTTTGACATAAATATCACAGATTCTCAATTATAATGAATTTAGGAGCTTTTTAGCAGTCTCCACACATTTTTGTGTAGAAATGACACTTTGAGGAAAACAACCAAAGTACAAAACCAACATGGAACCCAAATAATGAGACATGAGCTTATAACTACAGAAGGAATTCCAAAGGACACCAAATTCCACCCCAAACTCACACCATGTTTTAAATCTGTGTCTAGTTTTAATCAGGAAATAAAACATTCCTCAAGCTTTTGAGTTCAGCAATGGTATTTCCCACAAAGCTCAGCAGAAAAATGTCAAGTTTTTAAGGAATTAGTTAAAAGTCTGCCCAGATTCCAAGGGAATGGCTGGATAAGTGAGTGGCACTTACTTTCCAAGTCCTATGAAAGGAAAAACTGCTGCATAGTAACAGACACAGATGACAAATATGAGCCACAGGGACAAGGAGAAATCCTTCACATCCGTGAGCTTGATCACTTCACCTGCAAGAGTCAGCACAGGCAAAATCTGGGATTATCCACATTTAATAAACATCCAGGTGATCCCAAATCCCTCCTAAAGCACATCCCTGTCACCCTCCTGTCCCAGTTTACCCATTGGGAGTCATTTCACACACAAGTCAACAGAGCCAAAGTCAAGAACAAACTGTCTCTCCCCCACTGAGCTGATGGATTAAGCCTCTGAAAGTTTTATGCAGCAGAATTAAATATACTTTGTCAAGGAAATGTTGGATCAGCTGCCAAAATTCCTGTCTGGAGCCTCATCCAGGTTGGGTGAGGTTTGGAGGAAGCTGGGCTGTGGAAGGTGTCCCTGCCCAGGGAAGGAGATGAGCTTTGAGGTCCCTCCCAACCCAAACCAGTCTGGGATTCAAATTCAAATTACTAGTTGGATCTCAAATTTAGGGGTTTTTTTAAGTGCTCTAAATTGTCCTACATGGAAAACTCAAACCACCACACACACTGACAGAAAGGGGCTCCATGTTTTTCCACACCTATAAAGGAAATAAGGTAAAACCCACCAAAATAAAGAAGCAGTGGCAAGGGCACAACAGGGCAAGCAGTGTGAACTTTGGGTTTTATAAATAAAGCAGATGACAGCACTTCTGCCTGTTAAACTGCTGTTTAAAACTGTAAAACTTCCCACTGACATAAAAATGAACTAAAAATTATAAAAGTGAAGATGTTAAAAATGAACTAAAAATTATGATTGTAACAGTGAAGGTGTTAAAAGTGAACTAAAAATTATGATTGTAACAGTGAAGGTGTTAAAAATGAACTAAAAATTATGATTGTAACAGAGAAGGTGTTAAAAATGAACTAAAAATTATAACAGTGAAGATGTTAAAAGTGAACTAAAAATTACAACAGGGAAGATGTTCAAAATGAACCAAAAATTATGATTATAGCAGTGAAGACGTTAAAAATGAACTAAAAATTATGATTATAGCAGTGAAGACGTTAAAAATGAACTAAAAATTATGATTATAGCAGTGAAGACGTTAAAAATGAACTAAAAATTATAACAGTGAAGTTGTTAAAAATTAACTAAAAATTATAACAGTGAAGATGTTAAAAATGAACTAAATACTATGATTATAACAGTGAAGTTGTTAAAAGTGAACTAAAAATTATGATTATAATGGTGAAGATGTTAAAAATGAACTAAATATTATGATTATAACAGTGAAGATGTAAAAATGAACTAAATACTATGATTATAACAGTGAAGATGTTAAAAGTGAACTAAAAATTATGATTGTAACAGTGAAGATGTTAAAAATGAACTAAAAATGATGATTATAACAGTGAAGATGTTAAAAATGAACTAAAATGATGATTATAACAGTGAAGGTGTTAAAAGTGAACTAAAAATTATGATTGTAACAGTGAAGGTGTTAAAAATGAACTAAAAATTATGATTATGACAGTG